GTTTTTGAAATAATAAAAAAAAGAGTTATCGTTGTTTTAATTATTATTTAATAATTTTCTGAGATGATGGCAACAGTTATTTGGAGAAAATAGACAAACAAAATTTGTTGATGTTTTTTAATTTGTTAATGTTCTATAGAATATATAGAAGAATAATTATAATTATCACAACGATGTGTCTTATTTAGATTTCTAAAAACAAGTCAAGTTTCTTAAAAATATATATGTAAATAAAAAAATCAATTTTGGGTATTTTTTTAATTCATGTTTAATAAAAATATCGTGGGGTGCATTATCATAGCAGGTAAAATATCACGCAGTGCTGTATTAAATGAGATTTTTCAAGTAAAATTTTACGATTTAATAAAAAAATGCGTTTAATAAACTTTTGCAATGACGTCATTAATTTTCTAAATGGGGTGTCTAAATAAATTTTAATTCATGTTTTGTGACCGTTAAATTAATATAAGTGTCAACAAATTTTGCCATTTAGATCCCAAAAAAAATAAAATAAAATTTCATTTCTTTATATTAAACCCTTTGTTTTCCTGTGATAGTCCGCACCAAATATATTTTCTTTAGTATTTTCCCATCGACACGATGTTCTTAAAATCCTACTAAAATTGCATAATTTTTCTAGTAATTAATAAGATGGAGACAAGTCAGACTAGAACACCGTTTTTGTAACGTTGGCGCTCTTTTAACATAACTCGTAATGTCATAGTTTTTTCCTAAAAAAAATGTATCAAAGGTTATTTCGACAGGATTTTCCTGGTCCCTTAGGTCAACAAATTCCGCTACTCAGCGAGTTTTCCCTTTTGAACATGTTCCAATCAGCATTATTTCATCAAGGACACGTATGTCAATTTTGACACGTACATTGTAATACTAATAATAAAATACTTTAAGTATATTAGTTTACAAAATTTATATAACATTTACCAAGCAAAATTTTTGTATATCATCAAATTTGTTGGTTGGGATGATCGCACAGATTTTGGGTAGCTGGTTAGGGTGTAGATGCTAATATGATATCCCTAAGGAGTAGCTTCCGAGCTTATCTGCTTATCAGCACCGTTTAGAAAATATGAAAGTATCCAGTCGTTGGATGAACAATACGCTTACATTTTGCCTTTTTTACTATGTCTAGTCATCTTTTCACAACAAAAAACTTAAAACATGTTTAAAATGATAAATTTCTATAGGGACATACTACGATTGAGATAGAGACATATGGTTTTCTTTATTAATTAATACATTTAGTTTTCTTTGTATAACACGATTACTTAAGAACATATTTCACATGGTAATTTCTCGTAGGAAAATAACGATTTTACAATTCGGCTTACGACGAATAAAAAAAATCATCATTCATCAGAATCGAGGTAGGGCGGGTGGGCGGGGCTTATATTTTGCCTTTTTTTTTCTTAATATACATTGCCATCTTTTTACAACAAGAAACATGAGTAAATTGGTACTTTTTTGCATGGAAATATGGATTTTGCAATTGTGGGGCAGAGCCTAATTGCAAAATCGATACCTATTTTTTAAACTTAAACATGTTTTAAGTTTGATGTTGTGAAAAGAAGTCTACACATTAAAAAACGGCAAAATATAAGCTCCGCCCACCCGCCCTATCTCAATTGTGATGATTTTCTTTTATTCACCGTGAACCAAGGGGACGAAGCAAAATACTTATTTCTTTACAAGAAATTAAAAACATGTTTTTGAGTATCGTGTTGTTCAAAGAATACTAAGGATATTAAGAAAAAAAAGGCAAAATATAAGTGTAAAGATTTAACTAATAAAAGATTTGACTAATAAAAAAATTGTTCGAAAGTAATTTCCGAACATTTATTTATGGTAATTTCTATAGAAAAGCTAAACGACATTCTATAATTTTTGTTTGTCTACGACATCCAAATTTTTTTTGATGATATTCTGTATATATTCTTTCCAAATTTTTGTAAAGGTTGTTTTTCTGAATACATTAATATACTGTACTTTAACTATCCATACCCCGCCACATCGCATTCGAGCGCATTATGTTACGAAGACACACTTGTTTATATTTATATTATATTTCGTCTGGAGTGGCCATGATAGGAAACGGATTAACAATTGCTCCAAAAATAAGAATGCGTTTAATGATTTTCTCCATTTGAGAATGTTTCGATCACCATTATTTCAACAAGAACATGTATGTCAAATTGTGACACGTGCAGTGTAAAAAATTTCGATTTTTTTGCAAAAATTTGAATGCCTTGGGGAAACTCTGAAGACGCATTCATAAACAATAAGTACAGGAGTATGTTATTTTATAAAATTTAACCCCAGGTTACTATGAAAAAAAAATTTGAGGAGTTGTCATCACGTTGTTTATCGGTGGAGATGACTAGAAAAATTTTGGTTATCGTATTTTTATAATATTCCTAATATAAATATACGTTAAAATTTTGACAACAATCGGTGCAGTAGTTTCGGCTGATTAGCTGTGTAATAAAAATCCAGACACACGGCAGACAGGCAGGCAGACAGACAGACGGAAATGGGAGAAAAACTCAAACAAATGTAGGTGTATATTACGTATTATATAACATTTAAATTATTTTAAAGCAGAATCTTTTGAGATGACGTTCTCAAATTCTTGGTGGGAATGATCAGACAAATTTTGGTTAACGTTTTGCCATCTGGATGATCCTCAGATTAATTGTTCTACAACCTACTCCCCTTCATACCAAGTCTGAGTTTTCCCGAAATCTACTACTATGAACTTTTCGATCACAAAGAAAATAGGGTTTTAATTATTTTCAAAATAATTTTGTTTCCATTTTTCAATACCCTCTATAATAACAAAAAAAAGAGCCAGAAAAATTTTCTATTTTTAGCAGGAATTTGAAATTTTGTAACGTCACTTTTAAAATTTGGTGGATTTTCTTTCTTTTTCTGTGCTTTTTACATTTCTGGGTTTAAATTTCTGCTTTAATCACTGTTTCTTGGAATAGAAGTGATCCATTTTCTCCCGAGGATTAAATTTCCCAATAAAATCCCAAGGGATTAAATAGAAATATGTAAGATTAAATGAAAAGCCACACATGATAAAAAAGCGGGAAATGATTTCCTTTTCAAAAAGCGGTACGTTTAAATCTAAATGAACATTCCATATAGGAATCTAAGCAATCTACATATTGATTATTATTATTAATAGGACAACATCCTTGGGAACTGCATGAAGGAACATTTAAAAGCTGTTTTGCATATTTCAGTTTTTTGCATATTTTTCGATTTTTAAAAAATTTTACTATCGTTGCATGAATTTTGAAAATTGTTCATTAGGAACTGTTTATTAAGTCTGTAAAATTTTTGACACTTTTTTGACGTCTGATACTGATTTTCTCCCCCATGTTTGTAAGAAAATTTATATAATAATATTTATAATCTAAAAATAATGCTACATATTTACTATCGTAAAGGTTTAACGAGACCGTTATCTGAAAACAGGAATCATGTTTTTAAATTAGTTTAAATCGTAAACCTGATTTCCACTGTTATTACATATTTAATATCAATGAAATTGAATCACGTTTTTAATTTGGTTGTGGAAGATTAAATCTCAACGTGGAGGTTTTAACTGGTAGTGTTGATAGCTTCCTTTCCAAACTTATTATTTCAGTTTAATTCTTTGATTAATGTAGATCAACAGTAAAATTTATTACTAATAAACTCACGAATAATAACGTTATTTCCAATCTTATTGTTAATTTTCTTCAATAAATTATATTTACTCACCTTCTTCAAGAAACTCATGACGTCATCTCAAAATTTCAGTGAATACTTTTACTGTACTTAGAGAAGAGCAAAAATATGTAGCCAATGACATGTATAGAATATTGGTCACCCTTCTTCAGAAATGTCTATACGTTTTGGCCATCTTTTTTTTAAACGACGAAACATCTTCAATAGATCGAGGTTTAACATGGTAAAATTGATCTCCATTTTCTTCTGTCCACTAATTAGTGTTTAACATATTCCGTTATTAGTTAAAACTTATCTAAAAAAAACTACGACATTGTTCGCTCCCTTATTAGGAGATCTTACAAGACACTATAAGAAGTTCTCAGTATACACTGAATTTAACATTTAACCTACCTTGTACCTCTTTAGTGCTCTAACCTCACACGCAGAGAAAAAACCGTAACTTTTTGGAAATAGGAAGAGTTACGGGATGCCACCGCGCAAGATTTATGACAAGATGAATGAGTATGTGAATGAGATAAGAGCCAGCGGTAATTTAACAATTCAAATTCGTCAAGATATCAGATAAGCGAAATAAAAAATAAAAGAAACAAAAAACTCAAAGAATAAACAGAAACAAATTAACTTGCAGTCTTGTCGTAAACATATAATTTAAGCTTCTATATCATGAAAATGCCCGACGTTTGTCATGGTTTTGGCCACTTCCGATAATATCTAACACCTAATTTAGGAAACATAAAATTGCAAGAGCGAGCACACCGGCATGAATGAATGTACTATTGTTCCACTCGGGAATATCTAATTAAGCCGGAATTTATGAGTGGATAGTACGCGTCGTGGCCGCTTCGGCGCTGTGAACCGCTTCATTTATTTTATTACATCATAATTTAACCCGCACGCACCTCTATCTAGCCTCATCGCGGGGTCATCAGGCGGAAACGCGCTTATTGTTATTGTTGTTTTTCATGCACGTTTTCCTTTGATTTATTGGGCCCGTGGATTGTTTCGCACCAGGATTAACTAGATCTGCCGTCAAAATATCTTTGTTCCTATTATTTATTGCAATCAATAAGCTATAGCAACACTGGGGGGTATAACACGCACAGAAGACAAGATGATTGAAAATATAGTTTTTCCATAGAATTGACGATTTAATTAAATTGTCGAATTGAACGAATTCTGAAAGCATATTCAAATCTTGTTGAAGAATTGTGTATTTTTCTGAAGTCTGCTTTTGTTTTCAGGCTGTTCGGCATGAAGAGGTGTGCACGTTGCCAAGCGACGATCATCTCTTCAGAACTGGTAATGAGGGCCCGCGATCTCGTCTTCCACGTCCACTGTTTTTCCTGCGCCGTGTGCAACTCACCCCTGACCAAAGGCGACCATTTCGGGATGAGGGATGGGGCGGTGTTGTGTAGGTTACATTTCGAAATGCCCGTAACGGAGCCGCTTCCGCCCGGAATGTTCCCTCCCGGAATGCACCATTACCCGCCGCCGTTTCCCAGCCCGGAATTCCATCATCAGATACCTCCCCCGACTCCGGTCGAGCCAGTCGGTAAAGTTCCTTTCTTCAATGGGGCGCCTACGACGCCCAGGCAAAAAGGCAGACCTAGGAAGCGGAAACCCAAAGACTTGGAAGGGATGACGGCGAATTTAGGTACGTTAGAGTGGTTGGTTAATTATTTGCGATTATTCACAGAAGGTTTTGGGTTGTATAAATTACAACTTAACGTTATGTAAGCCTTTATAAAAAAGAACAGCCAAAAATACATCTATTGTCCTTATTGTCCTTTATAAATAGAAAGTTTAGGAAAATTTAATTAATTAAATTAAAAACTCGATTTTTGTTTCACCGCTTCAATACAACAGAAAAATATAGGTTGGAGTTAGACCTTGAGTTAAATCATTTTTCCTATTTATCGCTTAGTTTTTCGAAATTTTGGGTTTTAAAAGTTGAATTCAATACGTATAACATCACGGTTCATGAAGTAGTTTCCGAAAATTTACTAGATTTCAGGTTTCCAGAATTAGCTTCTCTGCTTAAAGACAGAAAATATTTATTAATGTTTGTTAGTGCCATTACGATTGACAATTCTATTATTTTGTATATTTTATTCTGACATAAAATAGTTAAAAACTACGCTCTAAAATTATTTTGAATTCTACAGAGTTCTGTTTTTAGGGCGTAACACACAAGGTAGTTTTTTTTAATGAAATACCCTATATATTTTTACATATTCTCATTAACACCTTCCTAGGATTTTTAACTTCAGTTTATTTTTTAAATTCTGATACGAGGTTGCCAGGTTATTCCAATTTTCTTAATTTTTTTGGCAACAGAAGGGTTCACAAAAAATCGCAATAGGGTTACTTTTATGGGAAAGGATAAATAAAAAATTACAAAAGTGAAATTTCGAAAAACTGAGAAATCGAAAAATTAAACAATTGAAAATTCGGAAAGTTGAATAATCCAAAAAATTTAATTTGGAAAATCAAAAATTGATAAAATTGAGAAATCGAATAATATACAATTTAAAACTCGAACCAACGAAAAGTCGAGAAATCGAGAAGTTAAAAAATCAGATAATTGAAAATTCAAGTTTAAAATTGGAAAAACCGTAAAATCGGAAAAAGTAAAATCGAAAAATTAAAGAATCCAAAAAGTAAAATCAAAAAATTAAAGAATCCAAAAAGTAAAATCGAAAAATTAAAGAATCCAAAAATTAAAAACCGAAAAATAAAGCAATCAGGAAATCGAAAAATCTGAAATTTAAAAAAACGGAAAATGGAAACTTCCACAAGTTGTAAAATCGAAAAATTGAAAAATCAAAACAAAAAAAAAACCTGAAAAATCGATAAATTAGGAAATCGAAAATTTGAATAATCGAAGAACTGAAAAACAGAAACAGAGAAATCCCAAATTTGAAGAACCGAAAAATTGAAAAATTGAAGAACCCAAAAATCGAGAAATTGAAGGATTGAAAACTGATACGTCTAAAAACTGAAAAATTGAAGGATCGAAAAATTGAAGAATCGAAAAATGGTAGCTACATATGTATATGTAAAGACTGAAAAATAGGATAATCGATTTGAAATAACAAGAAAAATTTTCTAGAAACACTCTTGTATATGAATATTTAATTAAATTAATATCACAACAAAGCGCGTATCTTTATTTATCTTTCGAAAAAATATTGTAACACAGATTTTACAAATGACCCTACTGCGATTTTTGTGAACTCTTCCATTGCTAAAATATTTTAAGAAAATTGGAATAATGTGGCAACGTCGCATCGGAAATTCAAAAATAAACTGTGGTTCTTAAGATTGAGAAGAGGTCAATTAAAGTATGTAAAGATAGAATAAGATGTGTCGTTTACAATTGAGAACTCGAAAAATTAAAGAATGGAAAATTCTGAAACTTGAATAAACGAAAAATTTAATTTGAAAAATCAAAAATTGATAAAATCGAAAAATCGAATAATATAAAATTTAAAAAATCGAACTAACGAGAAATCGAGAAGTTAAAAAATCAGATAATTGAAAATTCAAATTTAAAATTGAAAAACCCGTAAAATCAAAAAATTAAAAACCAAAAAATAAAGCAATCGAAAATGGAATTCAATATCCGACCAATTAATAATTCGAACAATCGAAAAATTAGAGGATCGATAAATTGATAGATCGAAAAACTCAAATCGAAAATCGAGAAATCAAAATATCTAAATTTTTTAATATTTATAAAATCGAAAAATTGAAATATCGGAAAACTGAAAAATAAAAAAATTGAAAAACCGGAAAATTGAGAAATCGAGGAATCAAGAAATCGAAAAATCTAAAATTTAAAAAATTGGAAAACGGAAAAACCGACAAATGGGAAAATCGGAAAATCGAGAAATCATAACCAAAAAAAAACTGAAAAATCGAAAATTTGATGGATCGAAAAACTGAAGAACTGAAAAATGATACCTACATATGTGAAGACTGAAAAATAAAAAAATCGATTTGAAAATAGCTATAATTAAAACATTTTCTAGAAACACTCTGTATATGAATATTTAATTTAATTAACACCACAACAAAGCGCGTCCCTTTATTTATCTTTCGAAAAAATATTGTAACATATTTTACAAGTGAACCTACGGCGATTTTTTTGTGAAGTCTTCCACTGTTAAAAATTTTTAAGAAAATTGGAATAGTGTGGCTACGTCGCATCTGAAATTCAAAAATAAACTGTGATTCTTAAGATTGAGAATAGGTCCATCAAAATATGCAAAGATATATAGGTTGTGTAGTTTAAAATTGAGAAACCGAAAAATTAAATAATGGAAAAATTCTGAAAGTTGAATAATCGAAAAATTTTATTTGAAAAATCAAAAATTGATAAAATCGGAAAATCGAATAATATAAAAAAATCGAATCAACGAAAAGTCGAGAAAGCGAGAAGTTCAAAAATCAGATAATTAAAAGTTCAAATTTAAAATTGGAAAAACTGTAAAATCGAAAAATTAAAGAATCCAAAAATTAAAAACCAAAAAGTAAAGCAATCGAAAATGGAACTGAATATCCAACCAATTGGTAAATAATTCGACACAATCGAAAAATTGAAAATTGGAAAATCGGGAAATCCAAATAACTAAATTTTATAATATAAAATCGAAAAATTGAAATATCGAAAGACTAAAAAAATCAAAAAATCGAAAAATCGGAAAATTGAGAAATCGAGAAATCAAGAAATCGAAAAATCTATAATTTAAAATATAGGAAAATGGAAACTTTGACAAGTTGGAAAATCGAAAAATCGAAAAATTGAAGAACCAAAAAATCCAAAAATTGAAGGACCCAAAAATCGAGAAATTTAAGAATCCAAAAACTGATACGTCTAAAAACTGAAAAGTCGAGAAATTGAAAGATCGAAAAATATTTACGTATTTCATTTTCAGTGGAAAAAAAATTCTGCTGCTGCTGTATCAAATGCAATTATTTTAGCATATGTTCGAATTGTCATATTTACAGGGTACTAGATCAAACTTTTCCCTTGAAGCTAAAAACAACGGCGTTTAGAAAATTTCAATTTTTCTATTCTTTCTTAAGATATAAGGATGCGGAGTTTTAACTGGGATATTCTGTATTGTAATTATTATTAGACCATAATACTTATCGTCAAAAAAAAACAACAAATTTTAAACGTGACGTTGCAAAATCTCAAATTACGTCTAAAAATATCTCTCTATGTAAATATTTTTTGTAATTACAAGTTGTATTGAAAAAGGGGGCAAAAATCTAACCGCCACAAAACAATTTATTTTTTTTTATATCGAACCTAAACAGAAATAATATCTTGATAAATTCAAACGGGAGCATAGTTTTAGAGATGATCTAACTTTTTGAATAAACATCCTACCATAGAAACTACTCCAGTCAGAGACAAGGCGTTGAAGTTTTGACAAAAATTCATTTTTCTTAAAACTCGACCAACAACAAAGACTTCGAACAAAAACATTTTTTCAGAATTTCTGCAATCAATAGTTTCGGAAGTTCTTCAAAATATTCGGCAGATTTCGAAAGCTGTTAGAAGACTTTTACAGTTGCTGGGAGTGATCTTAACCTCTTCGGACCTTAAAAATGACACTCACGGACTGTCAACTTGATCAACGGTAGACTAGTATTTTGATAATATTTGACAAAATGAATAATTTTATATTTTGAGGTTATGTGACTCCTTTGTGGATATGCATCTTTCAATTTCTCTTCTGTACTCTAATAAAACGCTTTTTCTCTTCACTTTTTATTTTCTGTTACCGATTTTGGGCTAACAAGAAGGGCAATGTGTAGCCCGAAACCGGAAACAGAAAATAAAAAAGGTTTAAAAAGTGGAGAGAAGAAGCGTTTTATTAGAACACAGAAAAAAAAAGGAATAATTTTGTTTCCTCGATACTTCATAATTTCTAGAATATAAAAAAGTAGGTCTCCCTTTTCCCTGTGTCGTCTATCGTTTGTCTGTTCCATGTAGTCTGTCTGTCGTCTTTTAGATATATTTTAAGAAAATCACGTGGATGGTAAAATGCTAACCAAAATTTATATGTTTATTCCCACGTACAACAGTTTCTTCACGAACTCCAATTTTCCAGAATTGTTAATACAGGCTGTCTCAAATGAACGAAACAATTTATTTTATTGAGTACTGTTGACATTAGCATTGCACTGAACGAAGTATGAATCAGTTTCTACTTTTTTAACATTACTGTGAGTTAAGTTAACTTAATCTTGTTGATATTGACGTATAATTTTTGTCAATTCTATGTTTATTTTCAAGAATATGTTGACCACCAACACTTAATTTTTTAGGTTTAAATGTGCTCAATACCCATTAGACGTCATTTGATTAGTATGCATTATTTCAGAGTCTGAACCATACGTCACAGATTTTTAGAATACACTTAAGTTAAAAATCTCTTATCTGAAAATGCGTTCTTCATCGTTTAAGCTGACTTGTATTTAATTTCGCCGTAGATAAGATATTTTTCTATTTTATTTATGAAGACAGGAGGCGTGCATTTGTAAGTTCAGTTTCCTTCCAACACTTTTCGTATCATGAACAAAATCACATAAAAAACCTGCCAACAGTGGCCAAACCTGTGTTAGACCACAGAGTAG